GCGGCGGGCGGCGGCGCGCGCCGGGACAAGTGTAAATATTGCTTACTACATATTAGTAATTTTATTTTAGAGTGTAATGTGCTATAACCGAGTTCGCGGGGGCCACTGCACACTGCACACACCCTTGTTTTTATTATTATTTATAAGTATTTTTGATTTTAATCGATAACTACGTTATATATCGTGCGCCGAATGTCAAACACCAATATATTTGAGGATACTTAAACTTTTGAGTCTTGCTCAAAGGACGTCCGCAGTGTTGTTGAGCGTGGGGGGGTGAGAGGGAGGGGGAGTGTCCCCCTTATTTATTTTTATAATCATTTATATTCTAGATGTAGGTCGAATAGAGCTTCAAGTGTAATTATGTCGGACCGTTCTTGCGGCGCTCGCCGCCACAACACAACACAACACTAACTCTGTCAGAACAAAATTCTAAATGACCGCTGAAATGTTTAATTGTATGCTTTTATAGTATGTGTATAATGATATTTTGTAAGTGACTTTTGAAGGCATTCCATATGTTACAATGCGGTGGCGAGTTGAGTTGATTGGGTGAGAAATAGTTGCAATAATTAGTACGAGTCGTTTGTAATGTGAGTGCCATCGGCCGCGACCGCGCCGCAGCCGCGCCGCAGCCGCACCGCAGCCGCGCCGCAGCCGCACTTTCCAAACTTATACAATACCATGTTGCCTTTCAATCTAGGACGAAAATTTTTTCAAATAAAAATGTTTAAGTAAAATATTAATCGTGTTTCATTGATTCCCGACATGAATTTCTATTTTTGAAAACTCATAAGACAAAAAGGCGAAGGACCACATTCTGTGGAAGGTTTTGGGGGAGGCCAATGTCCAACAGTGGGCAAACAAAGGCTGATGATGATAACAAGACAATAGGGAATGTGCATGTTTTTTTTTATAAACAAGAAATATTTATAAGATAACCAGAAAAGAATATTGACATGAAAAAATAAACCAATGAGCTAAAAAGAAAACTACGTTCATTCTCGTGCGACTAAGCGCGGCCGAAGTTGGCCAAAGACTGGTGAGGTCAATAGTCAAATTTCAATCAGATGTCGCTTCGATGTAAATAACAAAGTACTTCATTGGTCCCCAGAGTTATCAAGAAGAAAAATAATGGCTGTAAATTTTATTCTAAACTTTGATTTGGCGATTTCTGTTACAAATAATTAAATAACTCTAAAAATACAGAAATTCGAGTAACATATTTTTAAACGATAGCTATTTGTGTAAGGTGGTTGGAAAACCTTAATTACAATGATTGTGAACAACTATTTCTACATAATACTTAATAGAAATTAGTACTTTCCATGGCATACAGTATACAAGTATTCATACACATATACATTATCTTCACCCACATGCTCAATGCAGACACTCAATGACACACATTCACACACTCAATCTCACATACACACATACACACTCATACAATTACTCACAACAACACACATGACAGACGGGTAAGAAGTGATTCATTTTCCTTAACTTCAGTTTATTATTACTAATTAACAGTAGGTTTATTTTTTCTTTAATTTTGTATGGTTTCATGCGATACTCAAGTTTTTTTATTTTTTTTTGTTGTCAAAAGGTAACTGAAAGGGAAGGCATTGGCTCCTTAAACACAGGATTTCCTAGTTAAGGAGCCAAAGCAATATTGATCCTTAAATCAATGATTGACAATAAAGAATCTTTATTATTATTATTTAGGTCGTCTACCTTCACAAAGTATTCTGTGTACTCAGAAGAAAACAAATAAAACTGCAAAATTGATAAAAATATTATTTATTGTAATATCACTTTGTACAATTTTACATAATGTTTTAATCTAAGAAATAACCTGCCAGCTCCTCTAGCAACCACAACAAATTAAACATTTTCTCTTAAACATGAGCTTTTATTGTGATATAATATTTAATACTACTTATATTATAAAAAAATCTATTATACAATAAAGTAACAAGTTTCATAAAGTTATTTGAACAAGTAATGTAACATTTCAAGGCACTTGCACACCTTATGACATTAGAGAGTCTGACTGCAATACTATGTCTGGGGAAGTGTCCAGTGCTGGTAGAGATGGTAGTGGTGGTGGTGGGGGTGATGATGATGCTGGTGGTGACACTGCTGGAGATGGTGATGCTAGTGGTGGGGGGTGCGGCACGCTGCGCAGATGGCGCCGCAGCGAGCTCTTGTCGCAGAAGGGCCGCGCGCACTCGCTGCACTCGTAGACGCGGCCGCTGTGCACGCGCATGTGACGAGACAGACCTGATATACACATCGCGAGATTAATCGACAAAATTCAGTTATCTCACACAAAAACACACGTGACAACAATACCATTGTTAATACGTTTGGTAATAGAGAAAAAAAAAATCTTACTAATATTATAAATGCAAAAATTTTGATTAGAATGTATCTCCGGAACGGCTTAACGGATCTTGATAAAATTTGGCGCAGTTGTAGAAAATGGTCTGAAATAGATTGGCTAGTTTTTTTGTAATTCGACGCGGGCAGGGTCGCGGGCTAACTTTATTATCTCTACTAATATAATAAATCGTAAACACACACTAGGTCGTGGCCTAGGATGTCGGCAATCACAGCATATTTTTGAATAGTTCTTTCTTTAATACAAAGCCCTACACTTACGTCACACTATTAAAGTTAGAGGTACATAAATAGGAAAAAAATCTTCATTTAGGAAAGGCACCATAAAGTACGAGCTGCCAACATTAAAGAATCGAAGTTATTAGTAACGGTAATTTTGACATTTGCAATTGAGAATTTGACAAATGTAAATAAGTTAATAATAAAGATATACGACGATACGATAAAGTTTTTATAATTTGATGCGGATGAAGCCGCACGGGAAAAGCTGAACAACTAGTGAAATATAATATAAAGTGTGGTACCGGAGGCGTAGAGGAAGACCTTGTCGCAGTTGGGGCAGGGGCGCAGGCTGAGCGCGCGCTGGCGGGGCTCCGCGTGCGCGTGCGCGTGCGCCTCCAGCGACGAGCGCTGAGTGAAGCTCTTGGGGCACGTCCCGCACTGGTACGGACGTTGCTCTGACACACACATTCACTTACAATCGTTTAACGTTATAAATATTAGTATATATTGCACACATAACATTCGCTCATTAGAAATGTGGGAAAGAATTATGGTGTGGAAGGGAATGGAATGGAAGTGTGACAGAGAGGGCGTGTGAGCGACAGAGAGAGGTTGAAGGGCAAAAGGTGAACAGATAGATCAAACGACGTCAACGGAGTATTTTGTATATAAAACTTTTCGTGTTAATTGACTTTGAAAAAAAAACACTTATGTACATCTTCTTTTAACCAACCTCAAAAATAGAACATTCTTGATTATATTAGTAGTGTTTTAATGTGAGAAAATCGGCTTGGAATTCGAATGACGTGATTTAGAATAGCTGTCATTTATCACGATTATTTAAAAATAAAAAAAATTATCATTGTATTTTAGAGTTTTTCTTTTAAAAGTGGTGGTGGTAACGGTGGTGGGTGGTGGGTGGTGGTGGGCGGTACCTCTGTGCACGAGCTCGTGGCGCAGCATGACGGCGCGCTGCGCGAAGGTGCGGCGGCAGACGCGGCAGGCGTGCGGGCGCTCGCCCGAGTGCACGCGCTCGTGGCGCCGCAGCGCGCTGCGCGACAGGAAGCCCTTGCCGCACGCCGCGCAGCGCGCCCACTGCCCGCACGCCTCCGCCCCGGCCCCGCCCCCGGCCCCGGCCCTGCGCCAGTGTCACCAGGGTCTAATACTAATTTTACTAACTGTTTCCCAGGTGAAGGTTTTTTTCCAATTTATTTATCCCCTTAGATCGATAGCATGAAAGTATATAGCTTAAAGTGTGTCATAAGTATAGGGCTTTTTATTAAAGAAAGATTTTTTTCAAAAATATGCGGTGATTGCTGATGTCCTGTGCCACAAAGTAGTGTGTTTACTGTTACGCTTTATTAGATTAGTATAGAAGTATAGATAAATGCAGAAGTTTAGATGGATGTTGCTGAATGTATAACATAGTCTGGAGCAACATACAGACGACCTAAACGAAGTTGCGAGCGAAAGCTAGTGTAATATACTTACTTTTTTCCTTTGGCGTTTTGTTCCAACTTTATTGGGACACTTTCTTCTGAAGATGGCATACTATTAACACTATTACTGACACTAATAGTTTCTTCACTTAAATTGTCCTGAAACTGCAAAGAACATTTTTACACTCCCCTTTATTCATATTTACATGAGCACCTCGAGAGTACATCCTTTATCAGTTTATAGTTTAGTTAAATATGATATACAAATAATATAATATATCAAAGATATAGGGCGCCAACCTCATCATCTGGCTCCTCCTCCGTAAGCTCCACCAGTACCTTCCCATTCTGAGTCTCTAATTCCAAAGTCTTCACATTAGGGTTCTGTAATATCATCTTTTCATCTTTTCTTTCAACTACACCAAGTTGCAAAAGAACTGTTGTGAGAAATGCTTCAAAACTAGGCTCAACATTTTCTGGCTCAACTTTTGATGGTGTTTCTTGTATCTGTACAAAAAAGTAAATCTATATAACTTGTTATTATTCTTCCAAACTTTCAAAAGGGTTCCTAACTTCTAGTCTTTGTAATTTGCTTATATCATTAATGACAGGGCTCATAAAAACATACCTCTTTCTGTGTATTGCTATGTAGGTTTACATTGTTTTTTTTATTTGATAGCCTATTTGAATAGGTTTTCCCATATGTTCTTTCATTGCTAAATGTTAATAAATCATTGCCTTCTTTAAAGTTTCTTTTAACACCTCTTTGGTTCTCCATTAATTTTTTATTCTCCCTCACAGCTGCTGCGTGTAGTTTTAGCTTTTTATTGCTGACTTCACATTTCTCCCGAAAGATATAACACCTTTCAATGTCTCGGTAGCATTGTCTACACAACTTTTTTGGGAGACAATCATCCTTTGACACCTAGAAGAGTTGTAAGTTTTTTAGCAAGCCATTGATCCAAAGATATTCAGCCAAAGTGAAAACTTTAAGATTACCTCAATCCCCACACACATCGCGATACGCAAGGCGATATCAGGATAGGATTCGTGTTTGGAATCTCTGTAAATTGGTAGGCAGTCTTCTGTCTGACAGAGACATAATCTACAAAGTTTATGCACGTCGGGAATGATGTCATCATCAAGAAATATGTGTCTGCTGGCTCCCATCTCTGTATTCTGCTGTGTAACCTAGTGTTAATTTTAAAACCATAACACAAACAGTACAAGGTCTTTTCTTTCTCCTAATATTTCATATATTATACGTGTTAGACAACAATAAATAATTTCTCTACCAAAATATGTCGTTGTGGATTGTTGTAAAGGAACGATAAAATTTCTACATAATACGCGGTACAATGTTTACAATTAAATGCGATCAGCAAAAAAGGTCCGAACTTTAAAACTTTTTGACGTTGACAGGTACCAGTGTTGTCAGTAAAAATTGTTACCAGTTCGTGTTCATCTTGAAAAAAGTAAGTAGGTTTTTTATTTAATTAACAATATAATGTTATCTAGATAAACATTACTTGTATCCTATCAAAAACGAGAACATTAGTCAATTAAAATAAAATCTCTAAAAACGGTTTCGGTCCACCTCAGACAGTCATAGCCCACCTCTGGGGTACAGTAACGATCCACTCTTAAACACCCTAATAGATATAAAATAATTATTCTTTATCATTTATCTTTTCTTTTTGAATAACAAGATTTATTTCTATAAAATCAGAAATTAATCAAAATAATTAGAATTACTAGTTTTATTATAAAAATATAAAATAAATGTTATCACATTAGTTGAAATACATATTTCAGTAGTTTACTTTCATTTAATTTCGAGCACCAAGTCTAGCGAATCTAAACTCCCCCTGGACCGAAACTGTCTTATCCACCCTATACACCCTATACAAGAAAATTAATTTCGAATGGCAGTAATGTACAGCCATGATAATGCATGACCCGATAATGGACAGCCAAATATTCCGTGTACAAACAAAAGATTTAGGTACACGAATTATCGGCCAGTGCATTATTTGGCTGTACATTATCGGGTCGAACAATATGAAAACGTACCGATATTGCACGACCCGATAATTTACGACCTAATAATCGGTGTCCCATGCAAAGTATGTGTGTACCCGAATTATTCGGTCGTACATTATCGGGCACGGCTGATCCAGATATTGCACGGCCAAATAAGCCAATATGGCGGAATTCAACCTGTCAGAATCCCATCAGCCAATTGGCAGCGTGTCTTTATGATCGTGTGTGACTCTTGCCAGTGGGTAAAACGATTTAGTTGATGTTGTGATGTTTCAAAATTTAAATTTAGAATTGTATAACGGTTCAGAGGTTTTTTAATTGCTTACCACAGAGTTCTCAAGTGGAGGAAAGACACCCAGTTGTGAGTTCCTCCTCCACTTACGCATCGACGGCAGCACACACTGGTATAGCAGGTGCGATGCAGCATCCGGATACCTGTAAATAAGAAATATTATAATATAATTATTTTAAACTATATTAAAAATATTCGACGTAGCTAAGGTTGATCATTTTGGCCTGAATAAATTTGAAAAGTATTTTATATAAGTTATTAATAAAATGAATTAACATAAACACTGAAATAAAATACATTAATCCGATTTTATAACAATAAAGATTGTATCTAATCAACATAAGAATTGGGTCTGCTTCTTGCTAAGTACCTTACAAAAAATTGATCGATCAAACCGTGTATTTAATTTTTCTGGACTGGCATTAGTATTTCTGCCTGTTCCGTTTATTTTACATCCTCTAGGAGTTTTCTATCCAAAATACATGATTAACATTTTTTAACAACAAATACAAAAAGTTTATTTGACCATGATCACCTCATATGTCCCCACCGAGGGGTCCAACCCTACCCTGCATTATTAATACTTACCCTTACTACATCATAATCAGTTTTATTATCCTATTCTTAAGGAATAACAGTCATCACTTACCTAGCAGCTTCTTCCTCATAAATCGTACTGAGAGGAATATCCTCCTCTGAAGCTCTCCTCTTCAGTGCTTGAAACATGATGTTCCTGAAAAAAAAAGAGGTGTATTTTTTAACTAAACAGCATTTAGTTAAATTTATCTATATTAATATTATAAAATAGGAAAGATTTGATTGTTTGTTCAGATGTTTGTATTATAAGATTTGAATAATCGTCTTTCAATACTATATGCTATATTATTCCTGGGAGAATCCATTTCCACAGAAAAAGTCTGATATATATTAAAACAAAATATATTGATTTAAAAAAAGCTATCCAAATTACAAAAACAAACTTTGCATTCAAGTATTGCTGATAATTATGCTCACACCACACCGGAGTTTTTATTTAATACTGTATTAATAGTAAAACAAATCCCCAACTTAACGTGAAACCTATACACTTATGAAATCATAACCAAATACTTTTGTTATCTCACCGATTTAGCACCCAGGGAGTAGGTGGATGGTTATGCAGACCCTTAGTCGGACCAGCTTTCCCATCCCGTAGTATCCAGTGCGCCGGACAGCGGTCGGTAGAGCACCTCATCGTCGTTGAGGCCCCCCTCGAACGACTAGCCACATAAAAGTGACCAGCGCGAGTATACCAACGTGAGCTCCCTTTGTATTGAACGATCTCATCAAAATCGTCTGATGAAAGAAGTACTCCAGGTCGCCTGGGAGACTCAGGGAAACGGTCGCCTCCACAAGCATTATGCCCAGCCATAACTTAACAGAAAAAAACACAACTCGTCCAAAGATCAATTAATTAGGTAAATGAAAAAATCGCGATGATGAGCGTCGGATTTTGAAAGTTGCAACTATAAGATAGATTTAAATTATAAAATTATTGAACAGCACAACGATGGATAAAATGTCAAGAATTGTAGAGCTGAAATGATACGTAGGCGGTTAGGATTGCATCAAGTATTGCCAATACCAGTATTCAGTTAAAATTGAATATCAAGTTAGAGTTCTATGTGAATCGTTTATTTACTATTAGATTCGTACAACCTGTGTTTAGGGCAACAGATAACCGACTTTATACGAAGCAAACGTTGACATGAAAAGAAACAACAGAAGAGAACATTTTGGAACGTTTTTATTGATCAGATTTGTAAATAACACAGTCATGTACTGACCACTAATTTTAATGAATATAAAAAATGTACTATAGTACATTTTTTTGTACAAATTATATCAAAAACGTAATTAACTACTTACATTTTTATAACTACAATGATTAAATATAAACAAATATAAGCCAAACTTAATAATATATTTAAATGCGACAGTTAGTTTCTTGATCCCGGGTACACGGTACGATTTATGTAAGGGTTCATCATATCTTACTCAAATTTTCACAGATATGGAATATCGTCTGGAATAACACATAAGACACTAATGTTTATTTTAATTAACGCGCGAACGCAGTTACGGGCGATAGTTAGCGTCATAATAAATAAATTTAATTACTTGGATCTTGTTGCAATTTGATTCCATCAATAACCCGAACTGATGATGGTGGTGCTAATACCTCAGCTTCTAAGTCAAGGAGTCTATTTTCCGCGCCGCGTCTAGACCCGCGCAAGAGCAAGCATAGCCTCAATGAGGATCACATAAACCATCACAACAATGAGAAGTAAGGTTTTGAAATATAAGATTTAGGTTATAAGAATCAGCAAACTAGTATCTCATTAAAGTGCGATTACGTACCCTAAGACCGCAATAATATTTTCCACTGTCGTCCAATTTAATTGTTATTCCTGTTTAGTCTTACTTCAAAATAAATTTCACGATATTCCGTGCCAATGTATTCCAATTATCAAGCTGTACAACATGTGGCGTGTAATATCGTTACATCCGATAATTCATGACTTGATAATGCGCAGCCAGATATTCCAAGTACAAGCAATGGGATTTGTTTGTACATGGAATATCTGACTGTCAAATATCGTCGGACAATATACGGATCACAGAGTACTTTGTGACATACTGAAATAGAGACTAATCTTCACCCTCGAATTGGGTAATACGAAGAAGAAAAGCGCCATCTGTATTTCATAGTTTACAACTTTCTTTCTTTTATACATATATAATAATATATATGAATATCCAAATAATTATATACCAATTCGAAAAGAATTATATGTCCATTCAAATAGTGCGTTATACCAATTAATTAGGAAGTAACAACAAAGGATACTAACGGACAGTTACTTTCTGCCGTCCCGGGCTCTGGAGGTGTAGGGGTATTGAAACACTGTCTTCACATAGTTAACAAGTATATTATAAGCATCAACAATCACATTTTATACAATCTCATATTTCATATATCATACGTAAACATCAGTGACAACCGCAATTACAGATGCGTTGCCTACCCTTAATTGACGGAGGAGGAGACGCACACAAAGAAACGACACCTCCGCCGTCAAATCCACGGATAGTAGTATAGATATATACATATATATGCAAAACTTACCAAGATTTTGTTGAGTTTTCGTGTGTGAAGTATTTAAAGGCAGCGCTTCAGCAAGATTCGAAGCTACAGGATCTAGAATGAATAATTAACATTTATACAAGACAATATACTATGATATTGCAAATTATGGATTAGATAATAATGGTCAAAAGTACCAGAATTTTGTATATAGTTACTAGGAGTAAGTAGGAATTTATGGTATTTATTAATTAACTGTTTATTAACATTTTGATTACATAATGCCTTTCTAAAAGGTTTCAAAATATAACTACCAAATGATGTTAATGGTTTGTTCTCATCAGAAATTTCTTGCATTGGCTTCCGGTTACTAGATTTTTGTAATCGCAATGGTTCTGGAAAAAAGGACAGTTGTAGATTATGTAAAATAATATTATAAATTTAGTTATTTCATGATACTTAATATTTACACAAACCGGGCATATTTAATGTTGGTACAGCATTGTGGCTAATTTTGTGGTTACGACATAAGTGTTTGTCTTGGAAATGCGACCGACATACACGTCGGTACTTATATATGTGTTCATTTTCCAGATCTATGATATCACCGCCAATTGCATACAGCCATGTATTAAATCTTGCCCTATCCTTCTCTGGGTTTGGAAACCCGTGTAGAACTTTATGCGGACCTTAAAACAGTAATCTGTTATTTTAACAAAAGTTTATTTTAATAAGGCTAGTTACTAAAACACTATTGCCATATGGATATAACATGAAAAATCTGAGACTAATAGCCTAAATAAAATTTTTCACAACTTCTTACTGGTTACGGGGCACTAGAGGCATATGTATTAGAATTACGATAGAATCAGGTCGTATGCAGAACATCTTATTTAATGTTATTGCACTCATTAAAAACATGCTTTAATGTACAAAAAAGTATCAGAGAGATTAGTGCAACAATTTACTACATTTACTTCGCTGCTATAAATATGGTTTTTAAAGAACCAAATACATCTTAAAGACAAAACACTACAAACAAATACTTAAGTAGTCCGGCAATGTACAGGGGCACTAGGCCAAAGAAGTGGACTATGGCTATAAATCCTTATTATACGAGAGGAGTCGTCTTACTGCTGGATACTGGATAGAGACAGTGTTATATTAAAGTCTGTAATGGTCTAAAGTGAGCAGACATACCTCCTCTTTCTTTACAACCAGGAACGCAACAATGCCTGTCAGATGACATATTTACGTTATTTATTTACCTAAATATTATTGAGGATTCATTTGAATTAAACGATAATAAAGTAGTAGATATAGTGCCATAAGACTCTTGTGGCACCTTTTTGACATTGACAGGATGGCGCCTGAGCATTTAGGGTTACCAGCAAGATAATATGTCCGCATTAAAGGGAAATTCTTTCCTTTTGAAAACGAAAACGCAAATTGTAAAGGAAGTACTTGTACCTTAAAATGTAACTAGGAAATGCTTGAGACTTCGTTTGTCGGTTAGAAGGCTCTATAGTTAAATAATCTTTGTAGCAAACTTTTAGCAATGCACTCTCTTGAGACAGTTAGGGAAGGAATAGTCTTAACGTAATAGAAATAGTCTTACTTAGCGCTCATCTACAGAATAATAGAAATCAAAGTTATTATTGTTTATTATCAACGCACCGTACAATTATGTGGTTAGTTTTTGATACATTAATGAAAACACACAGTAATTTCCTTAATACGTAAGTAAATATGATTTTAACGTCAAGAAGGCCATACTTCCAGGTACACAAAACATGTTACAATAAAGGGTCGGTCACTGCAATTTGAAATAGGAAATAAAACAACTTTCAGTAAAATGTTTTTAAGTCTATTAGTATATAACATTTTTTTTTTAAATTACAAATCCAAAAATATGCGTCGCTTTAAGAGTTAGGCAATTTATTGATTAACAAATGGTAACAAATTCTGATTGCAACAGACACAAAATGATTCACATTTTCAAATGTAATTACTGGACCCCCCAACTTCTCAGCGATAAAAATATCTCTCACTTAAAAAAAAACTGTCTTGCACTACTTTTAAACGCTTTCAACACTTTATTTCATGGAATAACATTAAAAAGTCACACAAAATGCTTAAAGTAATGACGCGAAGACTGATAAGCTATGTCACTATTATCCTGACATTAAATGTCACTTCTCATTGCCGGGTGCCAAAAGAATCATGTACATCTATATATACATACTGTACTATATTTATGACATCTGTCAAACTGGCAACTGTGGCGCCAAAAGGGACTCACTGCTGGAACTGCAAATACTGTCCAAACGACCTATCCCATCTGTAGCCTGCTTCATATCTGTAAACTGATTAGTTCATAAACTCTTCATCATGGCCAACTGCAACCATCAAGCGAAATTGCAAATAAACACAAAAGCTTGTAATATATAACTTTGACTTTAATGATGACCATCTATTAGGATCTTATCTTTTAGATCCTCATCACTATTTTCTTAAAAAAGATCCATATCAAACTACTGTATTACTTAAATAAAAACCATTAATAACATTATACAAAGTCTTATTTATTTAAAATGGCAGTTAACAATTTTATCAATTCCATTTTATAACCATCACAAAATGTTGAATATTCATATAAAAGGATTACAAACATGAAAAATAAATGCATTTTGTACTAGATACAATCTTTAACTTTTTAATTACACAGCCAATGGCTAGCACATGGAATAAAAATTTCATTTCTAAACTTGTTTACAAAAATATAATTTCTTCAACATATTATTTTCCTTATCACTAATAATTGTATAAAAATAGGAAAACTTAGTCAATACATAAAATTACAGTAAAAATGTTAAATACAAATTTTAAGTGTAAAAGTATCGAGATTTAATGTGTTTATTTATATCAAATTATTTTTATTCATTGATTTATTTGCACTTTAAAAAAATAGAAAAACACAAAGAAATATAATAATTCGGAATCATAACAAAAATTCCTTAAAAAAAATTTACATTGGAGTACATAATTACTTAATTGTATTTATTTTCTTCAACACTAATACAATAGGTTATGGCTGCTGGTTATTTTATAATATAAGAACATAATATACATATAAACTATAAAAATCGATTGCTTTACATTTTCGTATAAAAATTAAAAATATATTTATATGACAAAGATAAATTAAAAAAGCTGCCAGTCATATTGAAATTAAAATTCCTTCTTTGATTATATATGAAAGTGTAAAATATATTCAGTCAATTATTTCATTATTCAAATATTGTCATTATTAGGAATTCTATAGCAAATGGTTTCTAGGTCGGCAAAATAAATGTTTTCTCCTAAATATATGCACTCATTTAACAATTATAATAACCATTGTTCATTAATAAACTAATTTTCTTACATCATGGTTAGAGAATGAATGCCGGAATTATTTCGAATGAGTAAAACTGTTGTTTTGCATTTTGCATCCCTAAAATTATGTACGTTAGGAAATGTGCAATTAATGAGTACTTGTAAAGAATTACAGTTTGGCATCAAAGTATTTGAGCTCACGGTCCTCTGGGAGCTTCTTGAAATAACTCTCTACATAGTCTTCTGTGACGTCATCCAGAGTCTTTGGGTTCCACTGCGGGTTGTTGTCCTTGTCAATGAGGAGCGCTCGAACACCTGAGATAATATAAAATTATGACGACAAATTATATCAAACTTTAAGATACGCCTTTTTCGCTTAAATCGTCCAGACTAATTAACTTGTATAGGCAGCGTGGGCAATCGGCCCACAGCTCTGTACCCTACCACCGGCACTATGCATACCTTCTGGGAAGTCATGGTTCTCCGTGGCGCGGCAGGCGAGGCGGTACTCCATGCGCAGACACTGCGCCAGCTCCAGCTGCGCACCTCGCTGCAGCGCTCGCATGGTTATCTTCAGTGAGCCCGGGCACATCTCACTCAGGGTCTGCCCAACAATACAAATCAAAATTATTTTTATAGTGTTGGTTTTAGCCAGCAGTCGGGGCGCAATTCCAAAGTTTAATTTATACATGATACTGGGCAATTTGTAACTTGTGGCACCCCTTGTAGTCCAACTTAGTGTATCAGATGTCCAAGCGATCTCTACTTTAGTGTCTGTACAAAGGCAACATATGCAGTTTTAACATAATAGAGTGCAATGTTGATGGTTTTGCAAAGCAATATTAAATTTTTAAAAAGATTAAAAATATACAGACCTTTAAAGTTTTAACCGACCAGTCATTCTGCACCTTTTGCAGCCTCTCAATGATTTCCTCAATAGTGGATGCAGCAAAACAGTAATTGATGTGTTTAATATTAGGAGCTAATGAGAATTCTTCGGGAGGCTCATTGAACTTGTTGAGCAGATTGCGGATCTCAGAGTCGTTGTTGCAGCGAGACAGAAGTTTCTCCAGTTCAAACAAACGTCTGCTTGGTACAAAATGAGTTGCTATTCCAGATTTTACTACATCCTTTGCTTTTAATCTATCACCTGAAAAAAAAAATACTTTCATTCCTTCTTTGATTATTTATTAAGTTATGTTGGGCTGTAAGAATTAATTATTAAATACTAGAAATAGTAATAAGCAAACTTTTCATATTAAGCATTGTTTACCTGTTAAACCCAGGTATAATCCTAAATTGACCTGCAGCCGGGGCAGGAAGTATGAGCCACCTACATCTGGGAACAGTCCTATCTTAGTCTCGGGCATAGCTATTAATGTTTTCTCTGTAGCAATCCTGTACCTGCCATGTACAGACACACCTAAACCACCACCCATAGTGATGCCATCCATAAAAGCTATGTATGGAATCTTGTATTTCCCTATCAAATAGTTAACATTATATTCTGTATGGAAGAATTTTGGCCCTTCTACCCTGTCTATTGCAGATTTAACATCTCCCCCGGCACAGAATGCCTTTTCTCCTGCACCTTTTATGATAACCAAGCCTTTGCTCCTCTCCCATTCTTGTAATTGAGGCAGCATCATTGCCACCATGTTAGTGTTCAATGAATTTAAAGCCTTTGGTCTGTTTAGTGTGATAACTCCAGCATTGTTCAATGTCTCAAACAGCACTTCCTGTTCTTGTGATGACATTAGACGTTTGAAAATTACTGTAGTGTTCCTAGTCAAATTAGTGCCTATTTTAAACATCTGGAATATAAAAATTTTGGTAAAAGTAAGCATACAATCAAAATCACTGATAGATTAGTAGAGATAAGAATATCTAACAAGTAAATTTTCAAGATTTTTTATGTTTCGTAAAATATACAGGTTTTTTTTCACTTAAAATAACTATGGCAATTGTTTGGTGCATTACATATTAACGTATGTAACTTTTTTATTCATATAATTTTATACAAGATGTTTGTTATTTAAATAATTAGGTAGTTACATAACTATTAAGGTTATACTTACGTTGAACTTGAACCTTATCAATATTCATTAAATGTAATACGACCTTCAAGTTCTTCAAGTTACACAAAGTCTAACTTCAAAGCACAAAAATATTAAAAAATATGCCTTACAGTTACAGTATAGAAATTGCGTGTTGGAAATATTATTTGGTGGGGTGCAAAGGATAAAATTTATCTTTCACAAGTGTCAAGAAGCCGGGTGATTACAAATTAAAATTTTGCAAACACAAAACTAGACCAGCTGCAACAAGTGTTTTTAACGTGTTTGAGAATTGGGCAACACTTTAAAAACTTTATTAACTTGAACTCGCATCGTGTAAACGATATCTTTATCTTAATATTGTAACATTACAGATTCGTTAGTTCTTAATGTTTGTAAAAAACCACAATTGGTTTCGCCTTACAAGAACAATTTCGAAAGTTCAATAATCGGCGAGGTTATAGACGAGGTGACCAATGACAGTGACCTTAGCACTGAGGCACATTTATTTTCTGGCAACACCGAATCAGTTGTCAAAATTCGTCAATATGTCAATGTCGGAATTCTAAAAGAATTTTTGTTATCAAATGTTAACATATTTGTAATTATATTTTTTTTACTAATTCACCATTAATAGAACGAAGTAAGTCAAACAATGGGAGTAATTAGGAAAACATTAAACTGGTATGCCAAATTGAGTCCTAGTCGTGGTAAAACATCTCCTCCTTTCGAGCATGTAGTTCAAATTGGAGATCCTAGGTTACGTAAAATATCAGAGCCGGTACCGATAGATAAAATAAAAACTAGTGAAGTACAAAAAGTTATAAAAACACTGGAATATGTTACTAACAAGTACGGTAGTGTTGGTATGTCGGCGCCGCAAATCGGCGTCAATATGAGAGTATTTGTAATGAGACTAACAGCACAACAATTGTCATCATTTCCTGCAGAAACTGTTAAATTTAGGGGTATAACCATAGTACCGTTGACTGTGAGTAAGTAACTCTATAAACTTTATTGTATCATACATGATTCAGTTATAATTGATGTCTTCAATAGAGATTTCTTTCATTACAGACTTTTGTAAATCCTACACTGAAAGTGGTTGACTATATTAAAGTGGTACAGCCAGAAGGCTGTGAAAGTGTCAGATCTTTCACTGCGGAAGTTGCAAGATATAAAAAAGTCCAGATTACAGGTATATGCTGTAGAAAAATGTTTTTATTTGTTAGAATAATGAATTTAGTATTTCTATTATATTCCATTGATATAAATTGACAGATACTTTATGACATTACTTTTATACCTTCAGGCTTTGATGAGAATGGTGAACCGTTACAAAGGATCTACACAGACTGGGCGGCGAGGATAGCTCAGCATGAGATGGACCACTTGGATGGGAAGTTGTACACAGACATCATGGACAGAAAGACAATGTGTTGTGCATGCTGGGAGGAGGTCAACTTGTCCAAAGGAAAAGTTGCTATACCTTTTGCTCCTGAATAAATAACCAGAAACAATTGTTCAATATTTCAATTTAAAACCTACTAAAGAATGTTTAATATACTACTGAGTCATCATGGATACTTTTGATAAAAGGAATATGGGAATGGGAAGTGCATTTGTCAGAGGAGAGGATGTACAGATAGTTAATATTACTCCTAAGGTTGCATAAAAAGGGAAAATATATTCTATCTGTACCTTGTTTCGCTCTTGCCAAAACATGGTTTAAAAAATAAAAGTGTCATATTCAAGCAAGGATATTATATTTATTATGCCTTATAACAGCTATATGTGTTTCATTAGAAATGCACATTGTAACATGATATATGTCTTTTTATTACATTGCTCCTATAATTGTAAGCAAACAGCAATTTCTTACAATATTACAAAGTATTACATCTCCATAAAATATGTTAAAAACGTATGCAGGAATGAAATAATGTAGTTAATTAGTACTCTGTCATGGACATAAAGGGGACCATAGATGTTATCTAATATTTTAAGAACTACATGTGTTAAGTTTTCACTGAACAGTGGAACTGTTCAGTTACCATAGAAGTGTTCAGTTAAAACTGTGCATGTGTAAATATTTAACTTTAGTTCAACTGACAGTTATAATTTTGCCTATGCATGCACAGTTTTAACTGAAGTGTGTAGGAAAATTGTTCATGTCAGAACTGAACATCTGTAAGCTTTACACCTAATACTAATTTAATAATCTTGTAAAACTATACATATGCATCACCTTCAAGGAATATTAAATTTCCACTAAGCTGTTTTTATTTTTATTTAGCTTTTGCAACTTTTCAATAACTAAATTAGTGTTATTTTTTGACTAATTGGAATTGCATATTATCTTTTTTATTCGCATCCAGTCCCGTCGCACAAAAGTTTATTAAGTTATTTTTTTAATAATGAATTATAACAGAGTTAAAAATGACTATAAAAATTATTAAGTTTCAAGACCTGCTTTATTTAGCTGCACCAACATTTATTTCCATTCTACATACACATTCTCTAATCTAAAAATAAATAAGAAAAATACTTTATTTTACACAATGCCACTGAAATTAACATTTTAGTTGAATGGTTTTTGTCGCTTGCAGTATTGATATCAGTGGAGTTAAATTTGATATAACGAAAAGTATTAAGTGCATAAGGGTGGGAATACACATGCCCGTAAAATAGAATAATTTGGAAGCCAGTTCAAGGTACTATGGAACGAGATTTGGATGCCCGCAGTTGTAACAAAATCTTATCGAATTAGGTACTGGCATGCCAGTAGTTTGAATGCTAGTGTGCCAGCTACTGGCATGTGTATTCCTACTTTAGTAATGATTATTCCATTGATATATTGCCATATTTACTCTAACTTCCATTTATACACTTCATACATCTTATACTTTCCACTATCAGTCACAACAAACATATATATGTATATTTATATACATATATTTATACATACATATGGTACACTCTCAGTAGAGATATCAGAATTCATCGATGTTCGCAGTCCGCTGTCCTCTGAAGATCTCAACATTCATCCGCACTTGATATCCCATATATCACTTATCTGAGGAATAAAGTATGCATATATACAAAATTTTCATATATAAAATATTAATCCTGTTACATTCCAAAAAGTGAAAAGATTATTGATTGTAGTTAATTCATTAAGTGTATATAGTTAATTAAGCGTCAATAGCTTAATGGTTAGGGATACGGATTTCCAATCGCGTGGTCGAGGGTTCGAATCCCGCTATTTGACTTTTGTAAAACATATCCCAGCACAAGCTTAGAGCTTAATTGGCATGGTGAAAGAAATACCAGTATATTTAAAAAATCTGCTATTTTAGTTAAAAAAATATGAGTGCGTCGATGGGTCAGGGTTTAAGGACTTAATATACAAGTCCTGGGTTCATATACCGATGTGCATAATTTACCCGACGTTTTTATGCAACCTTTTTTTTTTTTTATAACATAAGGTGGCAAACGAGCAAGCGGCCACTTGAATCCGCCAAAATGGCAAAGTGACCGCTGCCCATAGATATTCGCAATTGCAGATGCGTTGCCTACCCTTATACGACGGAGGAGGAGACGCACATAAAGAGGATATTTCCCCTTCCTATGCATCTCCTCCACCGTCAAATCCACTTCCCCTTCCCATCCTCTCCTTATAAGAAAAGGGTGATAAAGAGAAAGGGACTTAAATTAGGCCTCCGGCACCACACTCATCAGACGAAACACGGAATTGCTTCCATATCATGCCTGTCTTCTGTGTGGTCGTGGTATTACACCGGGCGTGCCGGCCTATTTGTGCTAAGATAAAGCAACCTGCACACATGTGAGGTTAACCCCGGGGCCGGAGTGGGGGAGGTGGTACCTGAGGGGGTTGCTGGCGAGCGAGGTGAGGCTGGTGAGCGAGGGCGGGCCGCTGGCCGCCAGCCCCAGCCGCTCCGACTCCTCGTCCGCCTGGTTGTGGCGCAGCTCCTGCAGCGTCAGCATCAGCTTGCTCCACTCGTCGTGGCGCGGCTGTGCCACTTGCTGCAAATTACATATTGTTTTTAAAGTTAAATAATTGTAAGTAAACAAGATATTATATGTCTTTATTGAATTTTGTAAATCCTGGGCCAAATATATTAGTATAAATTAGGTATATCTTAGAAAGATAGACTTGTAATATTAGTAAGTAAATTTGTGTTTTTTCCTGAAAACAAGTTAATTTGAATAAAGACGTAAAGAGCGGTACCCAAAGTCTCTAATCCCAAAATGTTAGTAGTGCAAGACGGCGAAATAGGACCGCCTACAAAAAAAGAAGTAGAACTAGGGTCACCTCGGCGAGTTCGTAGACCCAGATCTTGCCGGCGTCGTCTCCCGCGACGACGTGCGTGCCGGCCGGCGTCCACGACACGCGGTTGAACGCCGCGCCGCCCTCCGACTGCACAGACGCTATCGGCACCTGAAACACCACTCTCTTATAAATGTCACATCGAATCATTCACTTATATTAATAATTATTAATGATTATAATCATACTAATATTGTAAATGCGAAAGTTTAAATAAATGGATAGATGGATGGATGATTGTTACGGTTTGTATAGGGATGAGTGGATCTGGATTAAATTTGGCATAGATGTGAACATAGCCTGGAAGAATACATAGGAGACTTACTTTTGATTTTTTTTAAATTCCACACCTGTGGAATCGATAGCAAAAATTAGTTCTTATAAAAATGAAAGTCGTACAAATATTATTTCTGTGAAACGAAACGTTAATCTGACAGCATGACATGAAACCCTCCTCAGTGGCATTGTTATTTTCATAGTTCAGTATTTAATAGTACAACATACAGAGCTTTCTAGTGAGAAATGACGTCATTCTGCTATGAGACAACGTGGTTGTACTATATAGTGAGAAGTGACGTCATTCTGCTATATGAGGCAACGTGGTTGTACTGTATTGTGAGAAGTGACGTCATTTTGCTATATATTAATGAGGCGACGTGATTGTACTGTATAGGTAGAAGTCGTGTAGTGTGTTGTACCTCTGTGTCCCTGTTGAGGTTCCAGAGGTCGAGACGGCCGGCGGCGTCGGCGGCGGCGAAGAGCGCGGGGTGCGCGGGCGACCAGCGCACGTCCGACACGTAGTCGCCGCTGTCCTCGAACGAGTACAGCGCCTTGTTCTCCTGCGGGCAAGTGTTGTTGCTGTACGCCACTTGGTGGAACTTCTTATATTATAAGATAGCAAACGAGCAAGCGGCCACCAGACGCTGCCCATAGACATCCGCAATTGATGAACCGCGATGCCTACCTATAATCGACGGTGGAGACGCACATAAACTGGATTTTACCCCCTCTAACGCGTCTTCTCTATTTTTTTTAAATACAATTATTAATAGATTTTGTTAATGTACTAATATTTCCTTTAACCACTCCAACTAAGCTGTAGGCTTGTGTTAGGTGTGGTTCACGATAAAAGTCGAATGGCGGGATTAGAACCCAATTATTCTTTTCCTTCCCATTTTTGTCCTTTAAGAAAGTGACACACTCATCAGACTGTAGGCGGAATTGCGGCGTGTGTCGTGTGCGGTGTCACCTTGAGGCTCCACAGCTTGACGCTCCAGTCCATGGAGGCGGTGAGGTAGAGGTGCGCGAGGTCGAGCGCGCCGGGCGCGGCGTGGCACGCCACGGCGGTGACGGGCCCCGCGTGCGCCTCCACGCACTCGCCCACGCCCGCGCGCTGCCCGTGCCGGCACCCTGCGCACACACCGTACCGCACACCACATTACACTACTAAAATCGTTACATTTCTATACTTTATAGGTTTTTATTAATTCTTCTATTTAATTAAACATGATTTAAGACGATATTACAACTATGTCAATGACACACTTGGACTTAACTTTATCATTTACTAGTTACTGCCCGCGACTTTGTCCGCGTATAATTAAAAAAATAATCTATCCCAAAATTATAAAGAGGATACATTAATATTTTTGTTTTGAAATAACTCAAAAAGTACTAGGCCGATTTTAATAATTATCTTACCATTACAAAGATAATTTATCTGTGAGTAACGTAAGTATATATTCGTTTTTTTTTTTTAATTTCAGGCGGACGAAGTCGCGAGCAACAGTTAGAAAAAATGTAACCTATGTTACTAATAATGTTAATAACGTAGCTTTATACTGGACGAATATTTGAGATCGGCCCTGTATTTTTTGAGTTACTTCAGTATATACGAAAATACAAAAATAGAGTTTTTTCCTCCTTATAATATTATAGAGTATAGGTATAAATAGAATGGGTGTCATACCGGTGTAAATGTTGCCGTCCTCGCTGCCGAGCACGAAGTTGTTGACGTCGGCGTGCGGGAAGGCCATGGCGCTGACGGCCACGGCCTTGCTCTGGCGGTGGTGCAGCTCCAGCGTCTCCTGCGGCTGCGACAGCATGTCCAGCGACCACGAGCACATGCGCCCGTCCGTCGACACCGAGATCAGGTTGTGCGCGTTCTGGCTGCCCACCACCGACAGGCAGTACACCGGGTGCTGCACACCACACCACCGCCACACATTCATACACTCCACTCACATGGACTAGGCATAGTGAACAAAAAACTGTCACCGGTACTTTCTCTGACAGGTACTATATCACTTGTCAAGTTTAGTACGCCACCTCGTGTCCATTGCCATGGTGTAAAGCATTTTACAAAATTATAAAGCTTTTTCATTTATTATAAAATAACCTAAATAGTGTAAAAAATGGAAACATTTACAATTAAATATTATCGAATGATTGAATTGACAATTAATTTAAATAAACCTAATTATATTGACATGTGGTTTCCGCGCTGTCAACATACTCGTATAGCGTTAGCGATGATTATGTGAAAAATGTTTCAAGTGTCAACTATGCCCACTCTATATATTCTTTTAATCTCTACTAGTGGTATGTGTACCGTGTGCGCGAGCGAGGAGAGCGGGGTGCGCTGTATGGGCGTGCGCTTCTGCACGCGGTTGTCCCACAGCACGATCTGGCCGGAGTACGTGCCGCCCAGGATCAGGTTCGGGTGGAACCTGGGCATTTAACATGTTATAAGACAAAATACAAAGATGGATCAACAGTAGGTGTGGAGATGTAGACCTGGCGAAGGTGGCACTCATGACGGGCGACTGGCAGTGGAAGATGTCTTCGGGGGTGCTCTTCTTGAACTTGGTGTTCCAGACGAGGCAGACGCCGTCGGGGTCGTGGGGTGCGTCATCGCTGTTGTGGTAGGAGGCCAGCAGTAGCTCGGGGTGCGCGCCGGACCAGTCGAGGCAGGTGACGCAGCGACCGCGCGACCAGCGCTCGTCGTAGAACGTGCGCACCAGCGACAGCCGGGCATCAGACTTGTCGTCCCTGTTGCAAAGTTAGCATATAATTTTTAACGGCACATTAGGAACTCGTAAGGAGGAACGTGTGTTGTACTGACTGCGCGTCCTGCGCGTCGCCGCCGCCCGTGTAGTCGGTGCAGATGTCGACGGACTCCGCGAGCGCGCGCTCGATGACGCGCCCCGCGCGACTCATGAACTTCTGGAAGTCCGCCGACAGCATTATCGTCTGCTTCTCGTCCGTGCTCAGCTCGCGCACTGCACAACACACAGTGTATACCGGATATATTAAACGGATTAACATGGTGAAATAAAACTACTTTTCAATATTTCGATCACAATTGGACCGCATGTCGATATGTATTAACTTGGAATAAATAATTATTTTTACAACTATTCTGATAATATGAAATACTTTGGCCAACCTTTCTTCTCCTCCTCCTCCTTCTTCTCCTGCGGGGCGTCGGTGACGGCGGGCTGCACCTCCTTGACGGTGGGCAGGCCGTGCGGCAGGATGCCGGGCGGCAGCTTGCCGTGGAAGGCGGCCTCCTCCTCGTCGCCTTGCCGCGCGCCGTCGCCGTCGAATGTAAGCACTGGACGGTGAATAAGGATGGCCCTCGCGCGGCCCGACACGACACGCCGCCACACGGCACGACACGCCACCACACGGCACGACACGGCAGCCGCCGGCCGCCGGCCGAAGCGTGCGCAGTACGGCCGATTTATTTGTCACGTATTCTTGTCTCGTCTTCACAATTTGTATCGACTAACTAGCGTGAGTTATGTCTTAAGTGGATGATATTTTGTTAAATCTTTTGCCTCGTGTACTTCGCCAATATGATGTTGTCAAATGGATGATACTAGTAAATTGTCACATAAATCTGCCGTACAAGAATACTAATTTCATGAAGTTAGTATTTGAAAGTTATGACATACAATAATTTAGACGTCAAAGATTTTAGTCAAACTTTTTTGAGAACTGATAGCAAGTCTAAGAATTATTATCTATTATCTAATACCGCGTAGATATTAACTTCATGAAACTATGTGGCTGCATTAGCTAGTATATTTAAAATTGGTGGTGAATAGAAAGTGAGCCGAATTCTAGAAGACAACAACTCTATGGCCTATAAGAAGCGTCTATTGTCTATAGTGTACAATGGCCACGGACAGCGTGTTGTTAGCTAAGCATGCCACCACAACCGTCACAACTACAAAAACTTAACAAGTCGATTTAACATATTTCTCTCCGTATTACTTGATACCAACTTTTTAAAATTCAGAATAGAAACAAAAGTGTTTTCCATTTTTTTTAAATAATTAGACAATCAAATATTTTTCTGTAACAACTAAGATTTTATATAGCGAAAAATGGTAATTAATGAGGTTAATTTGTTTAGTGTTAGTCAGCTAAGTTACTATACGAAAATGAGGTTACAACCTCATGAATAAGTTATGGAAATTCAGAAACCAAAAAGTATGGCTCTTTCGTACAATGGAAACTCGCCAATGAACAAAACCGTACAATGGAAATAAGCTACATCAATTTTAACTTTTCGTTTCTTTATACAATTGCAATGATTTAAAAATGACAATGCTCAAAACTCGTTGGTATAAATCTATTCGGATATCTCAAATAAACTGACATTCAGAACACTCTGTTATTTTGCCTTATACTATTGTAAATAAAAAAGAAATTGAACCATGAGCATGAACAAAAAAAAAAAACAAAACGTGTAAAATATAATAAAAAAAGCAATAACTCTTTGGTGATAAGCTTGCTAATATGCAAAAAAATCAAACTTCCCGAGCTCTCCACTAGAGAGATACAAAATGTCTCATAAAATAAATAGATATAAAAAAAACATGATGACGTCATGTCATGCCCTGATATACTGTCACATGCAATATTGTAAAATAATATGTAAGCATATATCGAGTACATATAAATGTAAAGTGTAGTTATGTTTGTTTAATTTATCAGAACATAGCAATTTTTTTGAGCAAATATAAAATAGTATGGAAATAATCACCAATCCGCACGTAAATACAGGTTGTTAATTTTTCAAAATGTAATTTTGATACTGAATTATTAATAAATATTGTGAATAAAGAAACAACCTGTATTAGTATAGATACAAGTGAACCGTGTCCATAGTGGCGATGCCGACAGAGGTAGAGGTTAGCGACTATATTGATAAAGTAGCGTTACAAATAGAAGGTACAGGATGTTAACAAAACAAAAACATGCCAAGTGACAGCAGCACAGGCTCTACCAAGGGCAAATTTAGTTCCAATGTTTGTTGTGAGTCGGAATTGAAACCTACCTGTGAACTCGTCCTCCCACTCTAAACCCGGGTTTAGATTGTACTCGTCTTGAAAAAGGGAGGAAAACAAAAAACATGTCAGTATGTTTTGACCATTATCAATATTAATTAAAAAAAATAATCATATTCAAAAACTCTATACATATATTATTAGCTAATCAACAGTGCTTTGATATGTTACAGCATGTCCTAAATTGACACCATTTTATCTAACTAAAGACTGTCTGTCGTCGGATATTTAAATAAATTGAATGAAAGATTCAGAATTGACGTAGTTAGCTCCACAAACAAACAGATCGAATATTTAATTTGTCTGCCCCCGAATTGTATAGAAGTTGACAATTTAGTAAAGGTGTTGCCACTGTGTTGAAGCATGAACGCTACACAACCGTTCCCATCACCGTACGAGCGAGCGGGTTAGTGACGTCACTATTGTTTGCAGAACTAAGGCCAGCGGCGACGAGCAGTCCTTGAGTCCAATCAAATGGGTCCACGTTAACACCTGTGCAGGTTAGTCGAGTCGGAGGGTGAGTGGGCGTGAGATGATACGGCGACCCCATACCACCACCATACATCGAATACATACATAATTTATATATTCTGTGCGCTTATAATAATAACTCTTGCGGCCAGATTGTGGTTCAAACACCGCGTGGAGAACTCTGGAAGGCCACTTTACTGAATGGAATGTATAACCACATCGTACGACAATGAATTAGTTCTGATTCGACATACCCCAGCGTGGAGAGAATAGATCAGATTTCTTGATAGCCCGTTACACTGATCGCTTTAAACTTATCAAGTAACCTGATGTAAACGCACCTAGAAAATGTTAGTTAGGAAACATCTAGAAGCGTGATCGAAAGATTATCTATGTACAAGACTAGGTTCCAATGTCGTGTGTTAGTTACAGTCCAACACCTCAAGTACTCAAGTATGTTAGAGTTGTATAAAGTAAGCCCCTGGAGGAATAATGACTTACCGTAGTAGTCGGTAGCGTGTGCTGTTGTGGGACAAAAATGAAAACAAACTGTCATTAATAATTTACAACATTTTTATAAGTATAAAGTGCCCAAAGATAGTGATCAAAATTTCGTCAGATTTTTTAAAAAGTAAACAGTAACTTGAGGGAGATTATTTATAAAATTCCGCAATTTCTTACATTTACCACTGCTTTAAGTTACATATTTTTTCTTGTATCATTTTAAATTGATTTTAAATTTGATATATAATATATAAATAATGACATTCACAATGATTTCTTGTTAATGTTGTTATGAAACCATGCATATCACAAAATGGAATCATGCATTGACTTTAAATTGACAATCTTTTTAGGTCAAATGACGTCAACGGGAAACATTACATGCAATTTGCCTTCATTTTGGGTAGCCAATGCAATGACATGTGTAGACATTGGCAGTACAGAACATTGTCCAAATGTTTGCCATGCAAGATTTCTTCAAATGTTTGTAATTTGTCTAGCTGTGCTTTAACCATGTTTGTGCAAACGTAGTCGTAGTGCCGTGTTAATAAAGTTCAAATTACCTTTACGTGGCCGCCACCAGTCCTCCATGTATCCTGCAAGCGGTGATGCATTGGAAGAGCAGCCTTTTTTTATGGTAGCACAAACACAAACATTGCACCAAAGACTCAAAACAGTATTTACTTTTGCTCAGATTAATTCATAGACAGAGACAGTACGAGATGAGCGAGACGGAACACTTTAAGCGGAGTGAGAAAACCAAAATTTTTGCAAAATCATCCGCAGCCTGAATGGACCTACTATGATTTTTTCTAGTACAATAAAATATTTCTAATTCTTTAATATTTTTTTTTTAAATTCAGGTACAAACTTTTATTGTATTTCAAAAGCAATTAAGAAGCAACTATGTTTTAGTCATATTTGTTATAATAATTGATTTTTTTTCATCATTCAGGCAACAGACAAAAGCCTAAAACAAAAAGGTCGCGTGAAAAGTAAATACTGCCCACGCTACTACAGATGTCATTGGTTACAGTAAGTATGGTCTCATTTGCAAATAACCACCTAATTTACTAATAAAACTTAGTTTAAACAAAAGTTAATAATAAAAAAATCATACATCAATTACTCTATTAAAAATGGAATTCTAAAAAAACAATTAGAAAAATAATTACCACAAAAAAAATGAATGAAATGTTTTTTTACTGGCAACACAGATAACCCATGTGGTAAAACATTTGCAAATGATATTGTTAAAACCATCACCCGAACATCACAAGTTATTAATATTATTAACTTTAATAACAAAAGGACAAATACAAATTCTTACATATATCAGATACATTTACATAGGGCCTGTCCCACTAGTGGCTGATAGAGGCTCAGATAGCATAAAAGTGACGGCACTGTCAGATAGAGTACCAAAATCCGATACTTGCATCACATATTTTATATGTTGCATTGTTGTCTGACGATTTACAAGAATTGTGGGACAGGCCCTTAAAATTAAAATTATTGTAGAATTTGCATTACTGCCCACCTGAGCCACAACAACCACATGTTGGCTGCAGTGGGCAAACCTTTGTTTTTATTTTCACAAAAAACATACATTAGACAATCATCATACATATTATGTTGTATACAAGTATAAACTGTTCTTTTTTTTAACAAAATGTGTGTAAGGCTCAAATTAAATGCACAGTTGTCCAAAAATATTAAAACACTACTTTGGACACAAACAGTTAAAAAAATTAAGTTTGACACTTTGAAATATGAAAAAAAAGAAATTTTTGTTGTTTTTTTTTTTCAATGTTAAATTTTCAAAAAAACTTGTAAACAACATGTTTTGTTATTAAAGTTATAAACAAACCTATCAGGGTGGCGCTAGTGTACAAGAGTATGGCAACACTTACCATCTCGCAGCTCTGTGACTCCGGAGGCGGTGGTCTGAGTCTGCTTGGCATACGTCACACTCTCCTTAGGCGGGATATCGGTCGACTGCACCGAAACTACTTGCAGCGCTAATGGCTTCTTAGGTGCACTGGATAATTTTATTTAACACAATTATATTATATTGATTTGCTATAGCTAATTGTTAGCTTTTGGTTTGATGTGAAAATACTAGTCTTATTTAAGATTGGGGTAGGTACCCTTGAGCAGGTAGACTGGACTTGTCAGTGTGCGGCAGGCTGGCGTCAGGTGAAGCGGTCTGTGGCGGCGTCAGTGACGTCATGGAGGAGAGCGAGGACAGCACATCCTTGACGGGCGCCACGCCCAGAGATGACAGCATCTCGTCCAGGTCGCGCCGGCTGTCCAGACTCGACGCCACTGACGCTCTTTGCTGTTAAAATTAAAGTGGCTTTTTCAAATTCACATGTTAATTAAATGTGTAAGAAACACTTTGTTTTTTTTTTTTAATAAAAAAAATGTTATTATCCTGAAAAGTAACATATTATCTCAGATTATTTAGTAAGCAATGGTAATGAAGTGTTTGATTGATTTAAATCAATTTTAACTTGTTTCTATATTCCCCTATAAGTAATAATTTTTTTTGGAGGTGTCGCAGTAGTGATTCAAGAGAGTTACAGGTACTGTTGACTACAACCATTTTAAAAAGACTGCAGCATGTAGAACAATGACACACACAATTCAGATTCAGACACAGTGTATTCACGCTATTGTCAGTAAAGCAAAATTAATAGAGTAGCTAACCAAAGCTTCCTCAGCATCTTTCTGTTCCTTCTCCCGGCGACGTCTATCCTTCTCCTCGCGAAGAGCTTGTAGCTTTGCCTTCTTCCTCTCCAACTCGGCCTTACGATCTGACATACTAGACATGATGAAGGCTGTAAGTTACACATAATGTAAGATTAAATCATTGAAACACGTAAATTACAACCTATAATTCACTTACATATTTTCTCTAATTTTTTTTACAATTTATGTACACTTAAGTTTAATTTTACGTAGAAAGTTATCTTTAAAATATTCATAATTTAAAACAAATGATGACGCCACATATTATTATTTATTATACTAGATATTTTAAAAAACAGTTTCCTTAATGCATATTTTGTTTTGAAATTGTGATAATAATAATATGCGCCGTGCCGGCTTTACATTAATTTCACTGCGTAAATTAAAACTCTTTCACAATTTATCATCTCTTATATTGAATATCCATTGGTTGTTAAATTAACTTAATTTTAAGCACTTGTATTGATTTTTAAAACACGAGCACAAGGTAAACTGCGGAAGATGTCAACGATGCGGTGATCTTAAATGACTCACCGCGGCTTGAGCGAATATTTACCTTTTCGAACTTCGATTTTATAGAGCTCCTATCGACATGTTCTTGTTATTTTCTTTTTAAATTTGCCAGTTAAACGTGGCAAACATGAAATTCGGAATATTCTGTAGGTAACGGGAACGTAATGGACACTGTACTTTTATGGAATGGGCGTACAAAATATGAGACAAATATTCCTGTTGCACCTTAAATATAACACTTTTTTACAGTCCAAGTCATTGGAAAACCGAATCGTATTAGAATTTCAACAATTTTCACGTAAACAGGTGAAAAATGGTAAAGCAGTTTCACATTTACATTCACATCACAATCAAAATTTGGTGTGGCCATAAACCAAAGTGTTCTTGATTTGACATTTTGAAGCAGTCAGTAATCCGTAACCTTTAAACATAAGAATTTTGTAGTTTTTTCTTTGGTAGAAATTGAAAATACAAGTAAAACTGTACTTATAAAATTAAAAAGGAGTCACTTTTTAAATATAAAACGGAACTAAAAAAACAATAATTCTTTCCATCTAATCTTTGTTTCGATTATTTGTGCTGGTGTGCCTTGTTGATCTATGAAGGAACCCTATTGGTTAATTTAAAAACCCTATGATTCTTATTGGATCTTATTAGATCGTTCTGTCATTTTCAACTGAAATATTATTCAGTTTTGGGCGTTTTGGGTGTTGTCCGGTGACAAGCAACGCTTAGCGTAATGATTAAACAATTTAACCCTTACACTTTAATTTTAATCGTTTTGTGACTTATAAAGACCGCTGTTGATATTAGTTTCCAAAAAAAAGCATGATATTATGATGAGTGCTTCCTTGTATTATTTCTTTGTTTTGATTTCCTTAACAACAAATTGTAAAGCAGGTGAGAAGCTTTATTTTTCATTTTTAAACATAAAAACATAGCTCATGCATTATTTAACAGAATATCTTCAAAACAATCTATTTACTGTTTGTTTTGTCATAGATTCGCTGAAATATTACTACGATTATGAATGCAACGAGCCATTAGTAGCCAATGCTAAACTGAGTGCAACTTCCAGTCTAAGGGATAGAGGTCCAGATAATGCTAAGTTATATGGTAAGGATATTTTAAAAACGTAACCACACATTTATAGAAAACTATACAAGTATTGTACCTAGTAAATTTCGTTTTTATAGTTTGGTTAGTTTGCACATAATTTTTTGTCTTTGCAAAGAAATAAATGATGACAATATGTTACATGTTATCTAAAAAGTCTGAATAATAAATTGTGTTACATAATACATTGCCAGTCATATTAATAGTATGATGGTTTATAAGGTTATGAGATTCTGATATATTTTATTTCTATGTCGGATGCAAGGAACCATATATTGAGGAGAGATGACCTCTTAGTGTGGCATGTGGTCAAAATTGCAGATAAATTAAGAAGTTATTTAAAAATAAGGACTCAGACTTAAAGCTCATCTATAACTGTTACATCTTTTTAAATACTTATTTAAGTTGCATATATTTCACGCAATTTGCAGCACTGTTTAGTATTGATTTGTTTTGTAGTAGAAGATATGCTTTTGAAAATTTTTAAGCATGCCTGTGTTGTAGTTTGCTATTTCTAAATAGTTTTTATGGATACAATTGTTAGGGTTACAAAATGGAAGCAAAAGACCTAAACAGGATTAATTCATCTACAGGTCCAAAATCCAAATAAAACAATTTTTAATTGGGCCCGAAAGAGGTCACAAAGAAGTCAAAGTGTACCTATTACCATTAGAATGGCGTTTGAAAATGTCAGATGGGCTTTTAATGTTAGTGAATGGAAGCCCAACAGAGAGGAATTATTAGCTGCTTCCAGCTACATACAGCCTGAAGAAAAGGATAGGATATCCCGATTTATTTTCCAAGATGATGCCAAATCTTCGTTAATCGGAAGGCTTTTAATGAAAAAATTTGTTCATTTGTCAGCCAATATTCCATATGAATTGATCAAATTTGGAAGAGATAATACTGGAAAACCATATTTGCTTGACTCAAATGTGTTGCCAAGTTTCAATGTCTCTCACCAAGGGGATTATACTGTGTTAGCAGGCAACTCTCGTACCAATGTTGGTGTCGATATAATGAAAATTGAACCACCAGTGAACAAAAATATACCCGATTTCTTTCGTATAATGAATAGACAGTTTTCTAAACATGAATGGGCAACAATACGTAGTTATGCAACAGAAATGCAGCAGGTAGCGTGTTTCTACCGTATGTGGTGTTTAAAGGAGAGTTACGTAAAGAATACTGGAATGGGGATAACTATTCCACTGGATTTAATTAGTTTTTCCGTTCAAACGCCGTTAAAGCTGAATGAAATAGTAAAAGATACAAAGTTGTATGTGAATAATGTTTTGATGAATGATTGGGTTTTTGAGGAGTCTTTACTTGATGAGAAACATGCAGTGGCGGTATCTTTGCACACTGATGGGACTGATGTAAACTTGGAGCCCCAACCGTTCATATTATTAAGCTTTGAAGATTTAGTGAAAGAAGCGAGACCTGCTTATCAATCTGATGCTCGTTTTACTGAAGACTTGTTGATCAAAGATATCAAAGAATTTAAAACAACAGAACATTAAATTTAATTTTTAGTACATCTAATCTAGTATAGGTTTTAAATATGTTATTGACTATGATTTTTTATAATTAAATAAACTACCTTTGGGTTTCGGGTCGTTGTTTTCTAGAGAAGTGCTGCGGTTTTTATCTATCCTGTTTAACATAGGCATGCTTAAATCTTTGTAGTGCAATAAAGTTTTTGAAATGTTTGAATTTTATTTGTTTTGCCATTTTGTAAGGAATACAGTAAAAAATATTATATCAATGTAAGGTTTGAATGCGTGGACGGCTTCGGAGAGTGACTTTGACCAGCAACTCGTCATAGACCTGGGTGTTGTGAGGAATGTAACGAGGATAGCGACCCAGGGTCGAGCTCATTCCCAGGAGTTTGTCCAGGAGTACCACATAAGCTATGGCTCCAATGGACTTGATTATGTTCAGTACAAGGCAGCTGGAGGCGAGGTTAAGGTAAATCGCCTCAAACAAATCAGGGATGTGGTCACTAACAGAATAACGTCGCAGCCGATAACGACACTCTTTTACTTTGGTTTGCATGTAGTTTGAAAGCTTTGTAGTTAGTAATGCGTGGATATTGGTACTTTTAATACTAAAATCTTGTTAAACCCCAACTCTTCCATTTTGCGTTAACCGTTTCGTTTTTTCGTATTCATTTTAACAAAAAATATAATTAAGTTCTTTATAGGGTAAAGGTTTACTACTAAATAATAATTAAAAACATACACACTTTAACATATTACACTTTACCTTTTGCACTCCTCTATAACCTTTTTTTAACCATGGTAGGCTTTAGCACTAATGTTTGACGTACGGTGAAGGTACAACCGCTTGGACGGCGAAGGAGGCGTCATACTTTCAGCACCTAACCATTAACCTGGTAGCGCGCAAGGAGCTGCGCGGCATCGCCACCAGGGGGCGCTACGCTACCGAGGAATATGTCTCAGAGTACATGATACAGTACTCTGACGATGGCGAGAGTTGGAGGGAGGTTGCATCTACGGATGGTTACGTTCAGGTGAAAGGCTGCATGATCAATGATTTTAAAAAGTTTAGGTTATGGTCACCATGGTGATGGTTGTCAGTATCAGGTGCGGTAATGGATATTCCGTTAGTTCAAAATCAATACCTCCTTGTGAACCATGCAAATGCAATATGCCTAATAATAATTTTTTAACCTCCCGCTTTATTACTTTTGTACATTTTACAATTGTCTACTATGCAACAATATGTTTTTAGAAATTAGGGGTGCTTCGAGTACTTGATACTAATCTATTCATAACTTTCACCTTACTAACAGAATGTTCTAACGATTAATGTTAACACTAGTGTTTCAAGTATTTATTTGTTTATTAGTAGACTTAAAGTTTTTTTGCTATGTAGATGTTCGAAGGTAACCACGACGGCAACACGGTGAAGAGGAATGAATTCGAAGTGCCTATAATAGCTCAGTACATTAGGATAAACCCGATGCGATGGCGGGACAAGATATCCATGCGCGTTGAAATCTATGGTTGTGACTATGGTATGATATAACTTTATATATAACTTTATATATAAACTAGCCTTCGACCGCGACTCCGTCCACGCGAAATAAAAAAAAAACTTAAAATGTACTCGTATTTCATCGAGATCCGTTCAGCCGTTTAAGCAACAAATTCTAACAGCCATCCATCTAAACTTTCGCATTTAGAATTTCATAAGTAAGAAGTAAGATATCCACGTCGCTATATCGACTTTTAGAAATACTGGACCAATAATAGAAGATAGAAAAATCTCCTTTCAGTCATATTTCTGTAGATACGGAACAAATGTAAACAATGTAGGCCCCTAGACGTTGCCAGAGTAGGGGCTAGACCAATACTAGATCAAAAAGACAAAGACATGTAATACTACTTTTGCTTATGAACAGTTGACTAAGTCTATAGCTTCGTCAGTGTAAGTATGTTGTCCCATCAGTGGCGGATACCCTGTACTTCAACGGGTCGTCGCTGGTGAAGATGGACTTGCTGCGGGCGCCGGTGTCGGCGTCCCGCGAGGTGATCAGGTTCCGGCTGAAGACGAGCGCGGCGTCGGGCGCGCTGCTGTACTCGCGCGGCACGCAGGGAGACTACGTGGCCTTGCAGCTGCGCGATAACAGACTGGTCTATAATATTGATTTAGGTAAGGTGGAAATCTTACTACTTTTAATAATTTGGTGCTAAATATGTTATCCCAAGTCGATTTTTCCTTTAAATGCAAGACCATTACGCTTTATATAAAAACTTTCGCTCGCGACTCTGTTCGCGTGGAATTAAAAAAACAAAACTGAGTAGCATTTGTGTTCTTCCAGACTATTCTCTACGTCTATGACAAATTTTATCGAAATCCGTTCAGCAGTTTAGGCTACAAATTTCAACAAACATCCATCCATCAATCTAAACTTTCGCATTTATAATATTAGTAAGTATGATGTTCTGGTTTTAAATCATTTATTATTGCGTATAAAACTAAACCGCGAAGTGTTATGTGGGAGAATGCTATGATGTAAGTTCAGGAAGTGTTATTAAAATAGTATTTGTGGTTTTATGCTGATAGATACTTAGTAGTCGAGATGTGTTAGCGATCTAAGATTATGTTTTATCTGTGATTCTCATAAATGCATGTTTTTAATGTAAACTTAAAAAGAATAATGCGATTTTTATCCATTAGATAAATAACTCGCACAGTTCGAAATGGTCCCCCTAAGTGTTGATTTATTATGAGAATACAACACTGTGGGTCACACTTAGTACACAATTACAAATTTACTTAGTAATCCAACTTCTACGGTAGTTGAAAATAATGTAACTTACGAATCGTTCATTTCATATGGCATTTAATCTGTCCTTGAGAAGTTGCCATGTACTAGTTGCCAAAAAAAGAACATTTACGCACTTAATGCTTGTATGATGTTATTGGCAGCAGTTCAAACGATGTGCGCAGATGTAGGCCGTTTTATTAACACGACCTCTGCCCGTTTGAGGGTTGTTAAATATTTTTACTAGCTATTGCTCGTGACTTCGTCCGCGTATTAAAAAATAGAGAAAAAAAAGTAGACCATGTTATTCAGTGATAACGTAGCTTTAAAATGGTTAACGATTTTTTGAAATTGTCCCAGTAGTTTTTGAGTTATTTCAATACATACAAAAATACAAATCTTCGCTCTTTATAATACCACTAACTTTCGCCCGCGACTCCGTCCGCGTGGAATTAGAAAAAAACAAAAGCAAGTATCTTATGTGTTCTTCCAGACTATCCTCTACATCTATGCCAAATTTCATCGAGATCCCTTCAGCCGTTTAGACTACAAATTCTAACAAACATCCATCCATTCGTCTATCTAAACTTTCGCATTTGTAAAATATTAGTAAGATTACATGAAAGACCCAAACAAATAAGCGGCTTACTGATGTTATGAACAATATAAACAAATAGTCATTGTCTAAACTTTAATAGGACGATGTTTCTATTATCCTTTTCCCTTAACAACGATCTCTTTTCCTTTTTAATAATAACAGGGATATAAATCTTGGTCAATTGTTGTTCGGACATCAGTAGCTTTAAATTTGTCGTTATGTATTAACGTGAGAGTGAATTGTGTGACCAGGGTCGGGTACAGCGACGTCAGTGTCAGTGGGCAGTTTGCTGGACGACAACATGTGGCACGACGTGGTGGTGTCGCGTCACCGTCGCGACCTCGTGCTGTCCGTTGACCGCGTGGTGGTCACCGCGCGGCTCAAGGGGGAGTTCTCACGACTTAACCTCAATAGAGCTGTAAGAATATACACATCTCTCTTTTACATTGTCTCTTTCTATTTCCCTCTCTTTCTGTTTATTACTATCGCATTTGAGTCGGTAATTCCTTCTTCAGATTAATTTTGTCTAGTATGGCAAAAACTTGAGAAGCTTGTATGAAAATTATTTTTTATTTATACAATTTTTACGTTTTGTTGTACACGTTTGTAAATTAATGTTCAGCTATACATTGGTGGCGTACCGAACTTCCAAGAAGGCCTCGTGGTGGACCAGAACTTCACAGGCTGCCTGGAGAACCTGTACCTCAACGCTACTAACGTCATCCAGGAGGTGAAGCAGGGCTACGACTCCGGGGAACCTTTCAAGTTCCAGAAAATTAACACGCTGTATACTTGCCCAGTTAGTATATATTTTTACTAAGTATTTTTTTTTGTGGTTTAATTATTGAGTGCCATGTGTGGTGCCGCAGGAGCCGCCGGTGGTGCCGGTGACGTTCCTGAAGGAGGGGTCGTACGCGCGGCTGCGGGGCTACGCCGGCGCCACCGCGCTCAACGTCTCCCTCGAGTTCCGCACTTACGAGCACCACGCGCTCCTCATCTACCACAAATTTAAAACTGAAGGATACGTCAAGGTAACATATAAATTTATGTACACCTTCAGCCTAATTTGAATATTATTTCTAGGCTTTAAAGTTTAACAGTAAAAATCTCTTATCGTTCAGGTTTATTTAGAGGAGGGCAGGGTGAAGGTGGAGCTGTCGACTGGCGGCGGGGCGGGGGGCGGGGCGACGGTGGGCGGGCCAGTGCGGCTGGACAACTTCCCCGAGCCGCAGAACGACGGGCGCTGGCACGCGCTGCTGCTGACGCTGGCGCCGGACTCGCTGCTGCTGGCGCTGGACCGCCGCCCCGTGCGCACCACCAAGCTGCTGCGCTTCCAGACTGGCCCCACCTACTACATCGCGGGTCAGTGCGACACGCCCCCGACACAACAACTGACTTCTAATTTTAGTCCCATCCTTTTTCAACCTTTTCTTAAGAGAAACAGATGTAAGGAAAAGTGGATTTGACTGTGGAGGAGACGCATAGGACGGTGAAATATCCTGTTTATGTGCGTACCTACCGTCGATTAAGGGTAGGCAACGCATCTGCAATTGCGGATGTCTATGGGCAGTCCCTTCGCCATTTCGGCGGATTCAGGTGGCCGCTTGCTCGTTTGCCACGTTTCGTGTTTTAATTCGTGATTTCTCCTTAAGATTAAAGTGGGTTATAGTAAAAGCAAGCTATAATGTTATTAAGATTTGAATGATGACATTGTGTGAAGTGATGTATTGTGCTGTAGGCGGCAAGGCGCCGCCGCGCGGCTTCATCGGCTGCATGCGCAAGATCGCGGTGGACGGCAACTACCGCCTGCCCACCGACTGGACCAAGGAGGAGTACTGCTGCCCCAACGAGCTCGTCTTCGACGCCTGCCAGATGATCGACAGGTGACATTGCTTTATACTTCTATTCTACTAACAAACATCTATACTAATATAATAAAACATAATAAACACACTACTTAGTTATGTAGAATGTCAGCAATTAGTAAATTTTTGAATGATTATTTTAAAATAAAACGGCCTACACCTACGACACGCTATATATTTTCACACTTTTAACTTAGGGAGTAAATAATTTGGGAAAAACTGTCATGTGGGAAAGAGACAGAAACTACAAGCTGATATCAAGGAAGCAAGGTTGACATGGTCAACGGCATTGTTATCCAGTGTCAAATGCTTCTTGTCAATTGTGCATTTGAAACTTTTAAAATAAAGTAAAGTCTTTATAATCGGATGCTAATGAAGCTTCACGGAAACGGGTCGTAAAAAAGTCAATTTCATAAGTAAATATATGTGTGTTCCAGATGCAACCCGAACCCCTGCGAGCACGGCGGCAGCTGCACGCAGACCGCGGACGAGTTCACCTGCCAGTGCCAGGGCACGGGCTACGCGGGCGCCGTCTGCCACACCTGTACGTTCACTGTGCTGCCTTACTGCCTTACTGGCATTGACATTTAACAAATATAGACTAGATGTAGGGAATATTTTGTTACCGGTAACTTTGAAAGTGTTTTGTGACACCTCATGTATGGACATTTTACAGAATTTTAATAATCATCTTTTGTTATAAAATAAACTAAACGGTGTCACAAAAAACATGTACATTTAAATATGATTTAGTAACAGTTATTGGCAATTTATTTCAATGTTAGGATCATGTGAAAGTGTCGAGTGAAGCGTCAACGCTTCCTGTATATATTTGAATCTGTAGGTGACGTTGTCTCGAGGGTCTAGCAGCAGTTGACTATGGTCTTGTATATGTGCAGCGGTGCACCCGCTGTCGTGCGCGGCGTACCAGCAGGCGCTGGGCGCGTCGCGCTCCGCCGAGGTGCTGGTGGACGTGGACGGCTCCGGCCCGCTGCCCGCCTTCCCCGTCACCTGCCAGCTGCACGGTCACTATACACATATATTACTAAAGAAAATCAAATAAAACACTATTTATTGACCAAAAAATTACAAAAAAATATTACTTATCTACTTTGTAACCTAAAAAAGGAGGTTATCGACTCTTCCGTATCTACTAATATTATGAACAGGAAAGATTTGTATTTTTGTAAGTATTGAAATATCTCAAAAACTACTGAATCGATTTTTAAATTTCTGTCACCGTTAAAAAAGTGATTTATCTGCGATTAACATAGACTATGTTTTATGTTACTTTTTTAATTTTACGCAGACGATGTTCCGAGCAATAGCTATAATGTACAAATCCAAATATTGTATAGAGCAGTAAATAGCTAGTAATGGTCCTAGAAGAAGCGAGCCTATAGTTTCCTCAAAGGCCGAAAATGCATGTAGTTCCTCTGGTATTGCGAATGGGGTCGTTGAACACTTCGGTATTCATTTCCTACGCTAAAGTTAATGTTAATTGAAGTTGTTCCCGACGATTGTTTGTTTTATTATAAAAAAGGTACTAAAGGTGTATCCTGTTTGTGCGTCCTCCATGTAAGTGTGTGTGCAGCGGACGGGCGCGTGGTGACGGGCGTGGCGCACAGCGCGGCGGGCTCGGCGGTGGACGGCTACCAGGAGGCGGGCAGCTTCCGCCAGGACGTGGTGTACGAGGCGTCGCGCGCGCAGCTGGAGGCGCTGCTCAACCGCTCGCACGCCTGCTCGCAGCGCCTGCACTACATGTGCCGCCACTCGCGGCTGCTCAACTCGCCCAGTAACTCGATTATACTCCCGCTTACCACTACTACAACTGTCTGTCGTTGAAAATTATATTCCTAGAAAGTATTGTTGATGCTTCTACAGAGTGAAAGTCTAACTTTCACAATATCAATCTTAGTAATATTATAAATGCAAATGTTTAGATTGATGGATGTTTGTTAGAGTTTGTAGTCTAAATAGCTTAACGGATCTCGATGAAATTTGTCATTCTAGAGGATAGTCTGGAACACTACGTAAGCTTGCTCCAATGTTTCTATGCGGACGGAGTCGCAGGCTAAAGCTAGTTAAGATTGTGTATCGATGAAGTTGTCTTCAATAAGTGGTGTGCGCAGGCGAGGAGGCGACGTTCGCGCCGTTCGCGTGGTGGGTGTCGCGCGCGGGGCAGCGCATGGACTCGTGGGCGGGCGCGCCGCCCGGCAGCCGCATGTGCCGCTGCGGCGTGCTCGGCAACTGCCTCGACCCCACCAAGTGGTGCAACTGCGACGCCGAGTACTCCCCGCTCAAGCCTGAAGGTACCCCTCACACACCTACACTTCTCTACATTACTTTATTTCTTTAAATTGTGAATAAGTAATCTATGGTTGCGTGTACAGCCACCTTATATAAAGTTACTGTCAAATTTGGAGGATTTCAATTTTCAAAATGCACTAATGTTATGACTATTGTAGTATTTCTTATTTTTGAAACATAATAAGTCAGAAAAATTATTCATCAAGTACGCATGCTAATTATCGCAAGATTTAACGATAAATAAATGACCGATATTAATGAGAAGTCGTGCAGAGTTCCAGATGGACGGCGGCGAGATCACGGAGAAGGAGTACCTGCCGGTGAAGCAGCTGCGCTTCGGCGACACCGGCAGCCACCTCGACGAGAAGGAGGGCCGCTACACGCTCGGCCCGCTGCTCTGCGAGGGAGACGGTAATTACATTATCTGTACTAATATAATAAAGCGGAAACACTACTTCATGGCGTCGGATGTCGGCAATCACACCATATTTTTGGAGTAATTACTATCGTACTAAAAAGCCCTAGACTTGTGACATGCTTTATCCTATAGTTTTTAACGCTATTAAACTTAGAGGGTAAATTAATTGTTAATAACCTGCATGTGGAGAAAGGACAAAAAATGATTACAATGGAAATGGTAATTATTATTCAGCGGTAAATTCGTTGTCATTTGAATTTTGAATTTTGCTATTTAGAGTACAAAAGTAAACAATATTTTTTTTATAATTTCAATAACTACTTATGTACTAAACTTGTAAACGTTTCATATAATTCCGTGTACAGATCTGTTCAGCAACGCGGTGACGTTCCGCATCTCCGACGCGGTGATCTCTCTGCCGACCTTCGACCTCGGCCACAGCGGAGATATATACTTCGAGTTCAAGACAACCAAGGAGAACGCGGTCCTATTGCACGCTAAGGTAAATTTACATTCGCGTTAACAACTTAAAGAAATATAAAGCCTTAAAAATTATTAAGATTTTTTTTATATAGACCAATAATGTATGGTTTGTTTTAGGGACCGACGGATTATATCAAGCTATCGCTGATCGGAGGCGACCAGCTGCAGTTCCAGCTGCAGGTGGGCGACACGCCGCTCGGCGTCTCCGTAGAGACGAGCAGCCGCCTCGCAGACAACAATTGGCACTCCGTCTCCATCGAGCGCAACAGGTACCAGTAAATTTATCATAAAAACACCAGCCCTTACCCAATAGAACACCTACCTTTAGAACACGCCCAATCGATCACGAGGAAATGACATTTAAATACTAATATTATAAAGAGAAAAGATTTGAATTTTAGGGTGAATTGAAATAATACGAAAACTATTGGGCCGATTTCAACAGTTATTTTAAAATAACTACGTTTATCAACTATTTTTTAATTTCTCGCAGTCGAAGTCGCAAGCATCAGCTAGTATGTAATAACGTCTTAAATTATGAGGCCACGCCTAAACTACAAATTATCTTAAAATGTTGACGTCTGTCAGATTGTAAGCGGTGTTCACGAAGGTTTCATTGTTCAGGCGTAAGTCTACATGATTGCAATGGAGTTGCTAAGACGTGTGTTGTGTGTAGGAAGGAGGCTCGCGTGGTGGTGGACGGGGCGCTGAAGAACGAGATCCGCACGGCGAAGGAGCCGGTGCGCGCGCTGCACCTCACCACGGCGCTGGCGCTGGGCGCCTCGCTCGAGCGCACTGACGGCTTCGTCGGCTGCGTGCGCGCGCTGCTGCTCAACGGACGACCCGTGGACCTGCTCGCCTACGCGCGCAGAGGTACCGTCCCCGACACGCCCACAACGCACACAACGCCCACAGACACGCCCGCAACGCACATAGACACGCCCACAACGTATATAGACATATCCACAATGCCTATAAACACGCCCATTACACACATAGACACACCTACTACGCCCACAGACATGCCCACATCACCCACAGACAAGCCTACAGACGTTTGCTGACTGCACCGGTCTCTTTAAGGTCTGTACGGCGTGTCGGAGGGATGCCACGGCAAGTGCGAGTCGTCCCCCTGCCTCAACAACGGCACCTGTCTGGAGCGCTACGACGGCTACGGCTGCGACTGTCGCTGGACTGCCTTCAAAGGGCCCATCTGCGCTGATGGTGAGAACTTTACATTAATACTAGCTAATTAAAACTTAAATAAAAAATTTAGTGCATATTTAAGACTTATCGTCATCGATGAATATAAAAATGTTTACTTGCTTAGAAATCGGCGTGAATCTGCGACCCAACTCAATGGTCAAGTACGACTTCCTGGGCTCTTGGCGCTCCACTATCAGCGAGCGCATCCGCGTCGGCTTCACCACCACTAACCCTAAGGGTTTCCTGCTCGGCTTCTTCTCTAATATAACCGGCGAATACCTCACTCTCATGGTATCTAATTCAGGTCAGTAATGTAAGCTTCATTAAAAAATATATCAATTTTGTCTTGAAATGATATAAACTTGTGTATTTTGATGTGTAGGATACCTCCGTGTCGTGTTTGACTTCGGTTTCGAGCGCCAGGAGATCATCTTCCAAGGCAAGCACTTCGGCATGGGCCAGTACCACGACGTGCGCCTCTCGCGCAAGGACAGCGGCGCCACCATGGTGCTGCAGGTAACTACTCCTCACACAAGACATTAAGAAATATATAAATTAGACATAGTGAACATTTCACCGGTAACTTCCTTGACAGGTACTATGTTGTCAAGTTTAGTACGCCACCCAATCTTGTCTTGATATCTTAAAACATTTTACAAAATTATAATAAGCTCCACTTATACTAATATTGTAGGGGAAAGGTATTTTTGTAATTTTGTATGTGTTCAAATAATTCAAAAACTACTGAGCCGATTTTAAAAATTCCTCCACCATTAAAAATCAGTGAGTAACATAAGCTATACTTATTATTATTTTGTAAATACACCCAGACGGAGTCGCGCGCAACAGCTAGTTCGTTATAAAATAAAACACAAAGTGACACTTATTGGCATTTCATTTAAATACAATTAATTATAGTAACGTGTGGTTTTGTTAGCGTTAGTGAGATTATGGGATGTATATGTTTGACCGTGTGCACGTGCGCAGGTGGACAACTACGAGACGCAGGAGTACCGGTTCAACATCAAGGAGTCTGCGGACGCGCAGTTCAACAACATCCAGTACATGTACATCGGCCGCAACGAGACCATGAGCGAGGGCTTCGCCGGCTGCGTCTCCCGCGTCGAGTTCGACGACATCTACCCCCTCAAGCTGCTCTTCCAGCAGGACCCGCCGCCCAACGTGCGCACCATCGGTACGGTGCACCGCGCGTGTGCGATACACACCCCCACCCCATAACGTCTCAGTCTGTCGAGTGTGGCAAAGGCCTTATTTTAGATCCTTCTACCTTTTCACTCTTTTTATATAAGGCAACGATGCTTATAGAAGTGGATGTTGCGCATATGTGGGAGAAATATCCTTTTTCTAATTATCTTCTTTTCCGTAGATTAAAGATAAACGACGCATCTGCAAATTTATCTGTAGGTAGTATTTCGACAAACTCAGTGTCAGTTTGGTCGAATCGATGATACCACGTTAAAAAAAACAGTCCTTATACGGTTTAAAAACACGGCAGTTTTCTGTATTTTCCTTGTGGTGTACAGGCGGCATCCTGCACGAGGACTTCTGCGGCGTGGAGCCGGTGACGCACCCCGCGCAGGCGCCGGAGACGCGCCCGCCGCCGCCCACCGACCTGCAGGCCGAGCTGGACTTCCACCGCACCGACGAGGCCATCCTCGGCAGTCAGTACTGCTCGCTTTCTCTGCTGATGAACTGCCGTTCTCCGAGATGTTAAACGTAGCCGATGTTACAGCGGTGCTGGCGTTCATCTTCTTGCTGCTGGTGGTGGTGGCCGTGGTGCTGGTGCGCGCCCTCTCCAGGCACAAGGGAGAGTATCTCACACAGGTAATAACACAACTGTATTAATTAATAAAAATAACAGAAGAGATCGGTATGAATAAGAAACGGTAACGACTTATTTACTTTTAATAAAATTGGAGTTTCTGGAAAGGGTAGGCCTATTTACTGAAGGGGAGCTGATATGGACGGGACGAGCATATTTTAGGATACTTTGTTTTTTTCCCGTGCTAATGCAGTTTGTGTGTGCAGGAGGAGCGCGGCGCGGAGGGCGCGGCGGACGGCGACGCGGCCGCGCTGGCCGCCGCCACCGGCGCGCGCGTCACCAAGCGCAGGGAGTTCTTCATATAGCACCGCACCGCCGCCGCTGCGCACTGCGCACTGCGCACTGCGCGCTCCACACTGCGCACTCTACACTGCGCACTGCGCACACTCTACATACCTACCACGTCACATCTCTGACGTCACAGTACATCAGCTACTTTCAGTGACTACTTTCATTAAAACCTGTTTATTTCTCAGTGATCTTAAACTATAGTTGACTTCAGATAAATTATTGATGTAAAGCAATGACAAATTGCACAATAAATGTTATTAATACGCCAAAAATTAAATCAACATACTTTATAGAGCGTGTTATGTAATTGTATCACATTCCATAAATTATCATGAATATGACGTTATCATAGCCGAAATCAGCTATTTATAGATATTTCAAATGGCGTAAAATGCATCTCGTATTGAATCTCAAAACTAAAAACATTTTTTTCAAATTTCACTTATATTTTTATGATATTTTTATTGTCTAAGCACAATTGAAGATTGTTTCCAATCCAAGAAATGAAATATGATCGAAGACGAAATAATTTTCACTATCGACATACGAGTATAGTAACATGCTTTTCAATGTATGTGAAAAGAGAGAAATATGTCTGGACAATAGAATCTTATGGAATGATATTGAGATTGTCTCTATGCACAGAAAATCTTGAACTCCGTACTGCGTATTTTACATGAAATGTATTTTTATATGAAAATGACACGATTTAATGACTTTATTTAGATTTATTTTAGTTTGTAATTATTTGTATATTAGCGTATATATTTTGCTATATTATTTTATACGGTTTATAATTGTAAGATTTGTTTTGTGTGAATGAAAGTGTGTTAATTTTTCTGATTTAAATCATTCTTAAATTAAAAATTTAATGAAAATATCACAGAAATGACGAGTTTTTTAAGTATAATTTGTATCGGAAACTATGTGCTAAAATTACGTTTTTTTTTTAATAAGCTTATATTTGCTATCAAAATGTCTGAAAAAGTAAATGTACAAATGTGTTTAAATTTTTGTATGTACAAAATACGCGTGACTTGGACAAAAAAATCTGCAAATGTTAATATATATGCAGAATATATATTTGTAGATGTAAGAACACGCTGTATCTCATACCGTACAAACTTTGTATTTTTATATAAATGAATCTCAACACATATTTTATTTAAGTAGTATATAGGGTGTTTCATACAAAGTTCGCTTTTTTTTATTTTTCCGTCCAAAAGCCATTTCGTTACTTAAGCGTGTGATTTCTTTAGGTTTATTTTTCTGTGCGACTTTTAGATGTATTTTATTTTTGAAATGAAATTAAACATTTTAGGTTATTTGAGTGTTTTATTTTTACTACGAAAATATCTCACAGAAACATTACGTCTTCTGTAACTTAAAGAAAAAGTAAACTTGGAAGCGTGTAACAACTATAATCTATTGAGGTTTAATTTTTAGCATGTTTGCTTGTTGAATACTAGCTTTCGACCGCGACTCCGTCCACGTAATATAAAAAAACGAAACCAAGTATTCTATGTGTTCTTCCAGACTATCCTCTAAATCTATGCTAAATTTCATTGAGATCCGTTCAGCAGTCAAAGCTACAAACTCCATCCATCTAAATTTTCGCATTTATAATATTTTGGAGAAGAGGAAGAAATGGGTCGACATATGGGAATAAATGACTAAGTAAAAGAATCGAATTATTGAGCGCTTTAATAAGACGTTAAGTAACGCCTATTTACACTCTCGAAAGTCAAATAATTCTTGTACCTTTTTAGTTGAAAACAACTAATCGAACCCACGACCTCATATTTCCCAGTTTACATCTAATCAGTAAGTTATTAATGCAGAAACTTGTCCTTGGTCAATTAAGATTCTTAAAAGACTTGTGACGTCACTACACTTGTGTTAAAAGCTTTTGTTACTCTAATAACTTTCCACTTTATATGAAAAGATATTTCTTAAAAATCTTCAAGCGCTAGATAAACACCTCGTCTATATTTAGCTGTCGAGTGGATAGTTTCAGGGCTAAGCGATACAAATCGAGTCGATCACCTGCTCCAGTGACCCAGTAAACCCTCGAGCGACGGTAAAAGGTGGCGAGTGGCCGCGCGTGCTCGATGGTGTGGCAGACTTTCAGGTCAAACGACTACTTAACGACATTCGATACAAAAGGGATGTGCGGTAATTATCGATAGTTTTGTATCGATATTTTATTGAGGAATTTGCGCACATTCAAAGGGAGTTATTTCCATTATATGACATCTTTCACTAATATTATAAAGGGAAAGATGTATATTTTTGTAAGCATTGAAATAACCTCAAAAACTAATGGGCCGATTTCAAAAATTCTTCCACCAAAAATACTTCGTTATCACTGAGTAATACAGTCTCACATTTTACCATAATTGGTTCTTATAAAATTGGAAAAAGTCGTGTTTGCTAGGTATTGATATAAATAAAATACGATAAGTTTAATTCACTTCAATCAAGATGCATGTCACAGCCCTGGGCTATTCGATCCCACGTAGAAGAGTCCGTATGCAGGCCGTCAGCGTTTTGCAAAGGGGTTAAGTGTTACAGGTGCTTAGCGACGGCTAAACGGTCGAATGCGCCCCTCAACAACAAAGCCCGTTAAGTGTTCCATCATCGTTTTTGAATAAACTACACCGATTTACGTAAGAATACGATTTAAAAAGATACCACAGATTATAAAGTTTAACTTAGAAAAGATTGGCAATAATTAGAATAAAATGAAAGGATTTTCTGTACTTTTTTATTACTTATTTGTCATGTTTATGATGACTTTTGCAATAACGTTTTTATTTTATTTTTTTTGTACCATTTTATTAAAGTAATCAAATTGCATATAATTCTAACGGAGCAACATCGATACACAGGTAACATCAGGACTGATTGCCAACAAGTGACAACCCTATAATTTATGATTTCACATCAATTGCAGGGCTGCCACAAATTACAAGGTGTATCATGATACGTGAATCAACAGTCGCCCTGTGATCAGAGCAGGCCTATAATCTGCAAGCGCCCTCTCGCGGCAATTATCTACCTACACAGTCATTACGGGAGATAAGTCGTTATTATATTCTGATTTATAAGAAGATGCTTGTTACGTAATTAAGGCTTTATACTTCATAGATAGTAAGTATTTAGTTCTAGAGAATTGGATCTTTTGTATATTTTTCAATACATCGCAATCTTAATTGAAAACTTAGCTTTGCTTTCATTTGAATTGCCGAAGTAACAAAATTTGAAAATAATTAAAACCAGGTTTCAAAACTTTTGTACATTCAGTTGGGAAAAGCGGACATTAATTACCTTTGTCCACTAATAGGCTTAAAAGCCGAGGTCATGTATAAATAATTTAAAATGAATGTATAATTCGAGCATGATTTGTCCGCAGCTTTGACTTTTCCTAATTATGAAGTTGTGAATCCGCTTTGCAAATTAGTTGTCGGGAAGCTGTCACTCGGCGACGCACCTGGCCGTCTTTGAGCCGATTACTGCGCCCTCTACTGCCTGGTTTACTGGCTTGAAGCTTAACGAGTGAAATACTTTGAATTTTATAACCAAATCTTTGGACTAATTTATTATAGTACTGTTTGATTTTTAAGTTATATTTTTCTAATCGAATGTCTTGCCGCAAAACCGTATAGACATTGTTATTTTTTTTTCTGTTTAAAAGTTATTAGAGTTGCAATTGAGGTAGCAAATAGTTGATTTGAAAATGATATAATTGAATTAGTTGATTGAGAATACCACGCACTAGGAACAAGGTTATTTCTCTAAGGCTGTATAAGTTTCCAACCAAAGGTGAAGTGAAGCTTGCGCTAAGACACCGGTAGCTTGCCGGGGCACGCGCCGCCCGCCCCGCCCTTGGGCTAGGCACGCGACGATATCGATATATTAGAAACATCTCTCATAAAATTCAATATTAGGCTAAGGATAAGCGTATTTAATTACTTGTTAACTACTGCTGCAGTTATTGGCCATATAAATAAATAGTATATAGGTCCTCTTTGCATGGATTACAATAAAGTTGGAAAACTATAGTAAATTCGTGTGTAAGTGGTATACCGAAGTTAATAATCAACATGCACAAGTCGGTGTTGTATGGCCTAGGTGTACTAACTTTAGGAAGGGTCCAGGCCTCGCGGTGGCAACATATGTGATCTAACGTCGAATGAAATGGCATTTTCTTTAATTCTTTATGCCTAAAAATGTATAAGTTTGGTGTAACTTTAACATTCTTGCTTATATATGTTATAAGCTTTTGTCGGTGAGACTCGCAATAATACCTCGATACATCAAGGGCTCAGCTCTACTCTGACACCTTACTGAATATATTACTCCGTGCCACCGAATCTAATCACGATCTGACGGATTAATATCAGACGCGATCCGCCGTGTGCCGGCCCCGACAACGGCCATTTTGCACACCATTACATAAACAACTAACGGCCCGTTTCACTCTGTTACGACCACTTAAAGCTCAAATTACTAAATTATCGCTACATTCACAAAGTTGTCCTTTAAAATATTGAGTGGGCTCAGAGCCGGGGGCAATTCGGAAGATTTATTATAATACCTGAGTATTGTTTAAACTGTTGTTTAATGTGGAAGTTGTAAGATTAGCCGGCTTAATGATGGAGTGATCGATGAACCGTCGCTTCACGGAATTTGCGCTGATATTTAATTGATTTTGTTTCACTTGATCGATTGTATCTTGTTTAATTAGTTACAATAATTTAAGATGATCCATTAACTACTCAACAAATACTCAACGACACAAACCACTGATTTCGTTGTCATTTATCAACTTTCCTATAGCGCTTTGAATTGTGCACTTCCGGTAATATAATAAAGTAAATTATTCAAAACATCTCTACTTAAAACTACGCTAACTTGAGTTTTTTCACGTCCGTCAAAACAGGAAGACGCCTAAAGCTCTTCCGGCCGATAACAACATCCGGAGCGAAGTTTCGCTCAAGTTTCGTCAAAGTTTCGGCAACTTGGAGGAGCAGGTGCTCGTTTCGGATAAAAATTTTCACCTTTTGTTGTCTGTCGCGATATCTTTTTATGGGGATAAGTTCTGAGACAGAGATTCGGAAGTTTATTATATTTGAGGAAAATTGAATCATCGTGGATTAAGTTGTCTTGGTGTTTTTTCAGCTTTTAAATATATCAGTGGAAGTTGGGATACTTAACTATGTTTTTTAATTATAAAGATTAAGATTATTATAATCTCTTAGTTTCAGCTTTAAATAATTTGTTTGCTACAATGTAGTCAACCGACGAATCAGTTGATTGTTGATCATGTTAATTATTGCCGAAAAGGAATACGTAAAAACAATTGCTTTCATGTTCCACTCATCGTAAATTATTTCCCTACTTTACAGCGTTCGTTGCGCTACAGAAAATTACAATTTTTACTCTACATTCCGCCACCTTGTGAGACATATGGCAAGAAGTTTATTATGGCGCGCGGCGCACCTACGCGTAGCGTTGAAAAATGGCCGCCGCGTCACTTCGCGCGGGAAACTGCCTTGAAGCGATAAAACTTTCAAAGTAATTCTCACTTTTTTCTTGTTACGTGAGAAATTTTCCAAGCCCTAATTGAAAATGGTTCACTTTCATTGAGATTTTTAAATTAATACACTTTAAACCTGTGTTTTAATCAACATTGGTTCGACACAATAATATTGAAGCTTATTTATTTGGTTTTAATAAAACGAAGATTAACTATTGCCGAACAGATTAATAAAATTGGAACTAAATAATCTAATTACTCGGTCCATTTCTACTTGTTAAAAATATTTACTGCGTTTAAACGTTGTTGAAAGCACTCGGTGAATATAACCTAAACAATGAACACTTGAAGTGCTTGTTTCTTAGAATTTCTTGATTCCGTTCGCACCTTGAGCACCTCGTCCTGTCAGCTTCACGTCTTACTCTTACAAATATAATTGTGCAGCTATAATATGTCTTTTTACCATCGAATAAAGTCGACTATTCGTAATATTGAAGTAATGTAAAATGCTGTGAAATAATTTAATTTGGGCTGTATAGAAAATGCTGGCGGTGACATTCGGTAATTGCTATAACGCGGTGTAAATGTTAAAAGCACCTGTTTAAATTGTTATGAAAAAAGCTTCAACAGCACAGGAGCGGAATCAGTTACGATATCAGATACAAAGAAAGTTGCTTTTTAGACTGATTTTTATTTTAAGTTATTAACATACTGAAAAAATTAACATTCATGTACAGTTTTTTAATGTTTATGTAGAATGAGGCTGTGTGGACGAGTCGCACT